GGGGGGGGGGGGGGTTAGTCAAGTCGTCCCTTGGCTGATTTGCCTTGGGGTTGTGATGTGTCAGCACTTACTGCTGGAGACTGACTGCGAAGTAACATGCTGCATTGGGTCTCTTGGTTCAAGGAGGCGATGATTGTAGTAGCGAGACGGCAATGGTCAGGTACCTGCTTGTCCTTGGGAGGTAGATCCGGCAACCTCAAACACATATTAGCGTGTTCGAGGGCTCTCCAGGCTCCTTCCTGACTGGCTGCGAACGTAGCGACTCTGATGGCTACGGAGTTGGCCGCTCCGTGAGGGACCTGGCTTCACCGCCTGGCTCCTTCACGCTCTTCCCCAATAAGCTAAGAGGTGGGACGCCGTGGCCGCGTTCGATGACGGATGAGGGCAAGCTCGCCTCCAACACTCCTTGATATCCCATTGGCATCAGCAGTGGAGAGGGCGAGTGCTCGCGCGTGGGGCGCGAGCTATCGCTGGATGATAGCGATGGCGGCTTATCTCCGGGTTCGAAATTCGAAATCTTCAGTGCCCGGAGATTGCGTGTGGTGGGGGCCAGCAAGCTGGCGGGCTCGGGGTCGGACTCCCGCGGGCACTTGCGCGACGGGTCTGTCTGGTAGCTAACGCAAAATAGCGCTGAGCTCCGTTAGCGCTCATCGCGTTCGCATTATTGCAAGAAATCTCACGACTATATGTATTCTGTTTTTGGTTTTCAACTTTTGCGAAAGCTTTGGTCCTTTGCTTTCAAATTTTCTTGTACTCTCCCTGGCAATCCTGGGGCCATGTCCTATTACCAAAGGCGACTGGTTGGTTCTGCAGTCGCAGCAGAGATCCAGAAAATAAGAAAACAAAGAGACAGCTTTTATGTGCAGCCACTAGATTCATGGGCCACCTGAGATTCAGCTTTCTCAATTTTACAACAAAGAAGAGGAGGGGAAAAAAATGGAAAGGCCGTAGTCATCCGAGCAGCTATCTGGTACCATAGGTATTTTCACGTCAAAAGATGCAAGAAAAGCAATCGATAGCAATATTTGACGTCGTTCGCTAAATTCGGTTGCTATTAAGGTTTGTAAATCAGTTGTTCCCATTTGAAACAAAGTCAATAAAATAGCTACAAGCATGAAAAGTTGAAAACAGATCCAAGTAAGTATATAAGAAAAACTAATGTGCTGCTTGTATTTTCCTCTCTCTAGAAGACTAGAACCCCATATTTAGCTATTTTATTGATTTTGTCTCAAATGGAAACCACTGATTTAAAAATCTTATTAACAACAGAATTTACCGAGTGATGTCAAACTTTGCTATGGATTGCTCTTTTGCATCTTTTGCAGTAAAAGTACCCATGGTGCCAGATAGCTGCTCGGACAACTACAGCCTTTCCTTTTTTTTCCCTCCTGGGCCTCCTGCAAGGAACATGAATATGGACGAAGCACAGAAATCCAGATTGCAAAATCACACTGAAGTCCAAGTAGTCAAAGCACGAGCAGATAGCACAATGGAACCGGGTAACCATCCATTTGAGAATATGATACAGAAAGAATCGAGAGTCAATGTCCAAGCCCAACAGGGCAACACCAACAGCATAACCCAATGCAGCTCTCTCTTCTGAATGGCGCCAGGCACCCTATCTACTCTACAGCCTAAGCCTACAACTACAGCAATGAAAGCAACCAGACAACTTGATGACCAGCGAGTGATGATGTCAACACCAATGCCGACCTCCACCTCTACCAGGTACGTCTCCTCCTTCCCCCACACTCTCCCTTGTTAACCCACACAGCGCCCTTCACCTCCGAAGAACCACCTTTGCCCTCACCTCCCCTGCACCCGCCAGCAGCCCGGCTATGGCCGCCAGTGCCCTGCGCCCAGGCAGCGCACCACC